TTAAGAATGTTCCTCACTGCTCCTTTTTTATCTCACCTTTACTAAACAGCATTATATCTACTTAAAGTTTTATATGAACATAATTTTGTTCCTTTATTCTGATAATGTTTTACTGGGAGCAGGTGATATTAAAATCTAATGATATTAAATTTTTAGGGAAGATTATAAATAATTAAAAACTGAAAAAATACCTGATCAAGTGTATTTAAATTTCCCTTAATTAAGTGTCCAGTTTACTGTAAGTGATGCAATCTAATGTTGCTCTCCACCACAGCTTAAGAGGTTTATTAATAATTGTATTGACTTAAATATCATTTTAGAAAGTCCAAATTGTAAACATATGCTGACATGAGGATGAATTAAACATTTATGTTAACTAAACTTGTTTAAAGAATAAACAATTTCAATTAGATTGTTAAAAAGAAAAATGCTTACAACACAATATTTGTTTATTAGTCAATCTAATTTTAAACGCTACTTCATCTTTTCAAACAGCTGGAAATGTTAATCTTGATACTAATCTGACTTTTTAAAGCAAGAAACATATTCATGACTGATATAATCTAAGGGCATTACTACTGGAAATAGTTTCAAAGAGTTTTATTTGCAATTTAGAATTACAGCTCGTAATACTCGCTTTAAATTGTTTCTTTGACCCAGCACATCATCCTGTAGATGTACAGTCAGACAGCTTACAAAGGAAAGGAGGTCTACTTTTCACAAAAAGACCAGAGTCAATAACAAGGTTAGAGAGAGTTAGAATATCTCTCCCTGTGCTCAATGATTTGCTTTACATGGTAGCAAAATCATTCATATTCGGTAGCAAGATATTTGGATAAAAGGAAAAATTAGGATAGTAATTATTAAATATGGATCAAAAGAAACTGCTAGAAGCTACAGCAAAATGTGAAAACTTGCCTAGATGTTCACCCTGTGCAATTACTCTGTTTTACCCTGTGCAATTACTATTTAATACCAATAACAGCTGTGCAATAACCTGTATCATTATATTTGATACCCAGTCCAATAGCTATATATATATATATATATATATATATATATATATATATATATATATATATATATATATATATATATACATATATATATATATATATATATATATATATATATATATATACATATATATATATATATATATATATATATATACATATATATATATATATATATATATATATATATATATATATATATATATATATATATATATATATATATATATATATATATATATATATATATATATATATATATATATAATATCCATCTATATAAATACCTATGTAAATACCCTGTACAAATAACCCTGTATAATAACCCAGCTAAATAAGAGACTTAAGCTGTCATCTGATATGTGGATGCTCTGTATATACTGTAAATGCCCCATGCACCTTTTTCCTCCTTTGGCACCTTCTTCTTCTTTTTTATGACTATTTGTGCTGATATAATGAGTAAATGTCTCCAATGTGAGATCAATAAAGTCAATCAATCAATCAATCAATCAATCAATCAATCAATCAATCAATCAATCAATCAATCAATCAATCAATCAATCAATCAATCAATCAATCAATCAGTTTTATGAATCCTGCTTGGACTAGAGAAGTAAAACATATTGTCTTTGTTTTCTCTCAGCAGTATCACTTTGTTAATGTGCCCATAGGGAAATTTGCCTTTTATCCAAAATATAAACATTTTACCAAAGTAGCCAAATCAGTCTTTTAAAACCACAGGACTAAAATGATTTCCCTATCTGGCTGAAAAGCTTTGCATAGTTCATGAGCAAGACATATTGACTCTGTGCAGCGACCCCTGATCAAGGGAGCAGCTGAAAGGAGACAAACGTCCCAAATAAAGGAAGAGTTTTTCCTTCTGTTGGACCTTGATGTGGGCTGGCTGAATCTTTAAACACTAGGAGCTCAAATTTTCCATGAAGTGAGTGATAAGAACAGTTAAGATTTTCTTAAAGCTTTTGTGTGTGACTAATAATAATATTTGTGTGATCAGGTCATTCTTTGCCGGCCAGTTTTACTACTTGCTTCATCCTATGCATTCTACTGATGGCTTTCTAAACTAAATAAATGCAGATGTAGACACTCTGTCATATAATTATAGAAAATTACCTTTCACTGTTTACAAACTCTAAAATGATTACATATTTAAACTAAAGGTGGTGGACTGGACTACAGAAAGGGTTTTGTTTTTGGTATGATTTAGGGGCTGTTAAACCATAACATAAAATCTTACAGCCTCTGACCAGGTGGTCTTATTAACTTGAGCTCAGTGGGACAGGAGGAAAAAGAAAACAAAGTCAAAAACAAGTCCTACACTTTAAAAAATTCCAGATCTTGCATCAAGGGCAACAGTTGAAAGACTGCTTTAGATTTTCCTTACAGTAACCCTATGGAAGATCATAAAAGCCTCTGCTCCTTTTTAAAGTTTTTCAGAATAACAGACCTCTATCTGCTTTTTTTTCTGTATGAACAGAATCTAAATTCCTGGGGTTCCTTGTTTTTGTTGTTTATAAAATAAAACCAGTTCTCTCTTTGTTAGAGCATTTGTTTACAGATTAAACGAACTTCCTCTAAGTTAGCGGAAGTTTCCAAGTCTTTCCATGTATTCTGCTATAAATTACGCAGGCAGTAGCGGGTGTGGGGCTCCATCTGTCTAAAAACATGCATGCTGGGTTAATTAGTGGTTCCGAAATGACTTTAGGGGTGAGTGTGTGTATGAAAGCTGCCCCACCCTAAGTGGTATGACAACCATTTCTACAAACGATCCCAACATTTCTCCCTCACTTTAAATCAGTCTGTGTTTCTCACATAGCATCAAGGACACAACTAATGGAGGAATAAAACCTCAGAAAGGAAATCAAGTTCTCGTTTTTAAAGCAACACAAAGATACATTTAATTTAACAAATGTTAATATTGTAAACTGAATGTATGCAGTTAACAAATTGGGGCCTGTGATAAAATTAGATTTATACCATGCTTCAGCCCCAAATTATTTTTGAAAAAATATCAAATTGAAATACTAAATATATAAATAGGGTTCTATAAACCCAGGAATCATATATATATATATATATACACTCACCGGCCATTTTATTAGGTACCCCATGCTAGTAACGGGTTGGACCCCCTTTTGCCTTCAGAACTGCCTCAATTCTTGGTGGCATAGATTCAACAAGGTGCTGGAAGCATTCCTCAGGGAGTTTGGTCCATATTGACATGATGGCATCACACAGTTGCCGCAGATTTGTCGGCTGCACATCCATGATGCGAATCTCCCGTTCCACCACATCCCAAAGATGCTCTATTGGATTGAGATCTGGTGTCTGTGGAGGCCATTTGAGTACAGTGAACTCATTGTAATGTTCAAGAAACCAGTCTGAGATGATTCCAGCTTTATGACATGGCGCATTATCCTGCTGAAAGTAGCCATCAGAAGTTGGGTACATTGTGGTCATAAAGGGATGGACATGGTCAGCAACAATAGTCAGGTAGGCTGTGGCGTTGCAACGATGCTCAATTGGTACCAAGGGGCCTAAAGAGTGCCAAGAAAATATTCCCCACACCATGACACCACCCTCACCAGCCTGAACCGTTGATACAAGGCAGGATGTATCCATGCTTTCATGTTGTAGACGCCAAATTCTGACCCTACCATCCGAATGTCGCAGCAGAAATCGAGACTCACCAGACCAGGCAACGTTTTTCCAATCTTCTATTGTCCAATTTCGATGAGTTTGTGCAAATTGTAGCCTCAGTTTTCTGTTCTTAGCTGAAAGGAGTGGCACCCGGTGTGGTCTTCTGCTGCTGTAGCCAATCTGCCTCAAAGTTCGACGTACTGTCCATTCAGAGATGCACTTCTGCCCACCTTGGTTGTAACGGGTGGTTATTTGAGTCACTGTTGCCCTTCTATCAGCTCGAACCAGTCTAGCTATTCTCCTCTGACCTCTGGCATCAACAAGGCATTTCCGCCCACAGAACTGCCGCTCACTGGATGTTTTTTCTTTTTCGGACCATTCTCTGTAAACCCTAGAGATGGTTGTGCGTGAAAATCCCAGTACATCAGCAGTTTCTGAAATACTCAGACCAGCCCTTCTGGCACCATCAATCATGCCACGTTCAAAGTCACTCAAATCACCTTTCTTCCCCATACTGATGCTCGGATTGAACTGCAGGAGATTGTCTTGACCATGTCTACATGCCTAAATGCACTGAGTTGCCGCCATGTGATTGGCTGCTTAGAAATTAAGTGTTAACGAGCAGTTGGACAGGTGTACCTAATAAAGTGGCCGGTGAGTGTATATATATATATATATATATATATATATAAATCCCATTGAGATTAAACCCCTTTTTAAGGGAGTCCTCGCCAAGAGCAGCAAAGTTAAATAATAAATAGAGACACATTAAATTAAATGACAGGTAGCCTACATAAAAAACATGTCAAGTAAAACAATTACAGATCATTGAGGCTGCCTCAAATTCTTTGACTTTCAACTTAAAAGCATTTAAAAATGAAAACTCAGTCAACTACCATATATATTATATATATATTATACATGTATATATTATATATATTCTGTATACAGGTATATATATATATATATACATATATCTATATATATATATATATATATATATATATAGATATATATATATATAGATATACATATCTATATACTATTCTGAGACACTAAACAAACAGCTTGACATACTACACTATGTGTGTAATTAATGTAAATATATATGTTTCATTTTCTAATACGAGGGACGAAAAGTGATGCTTTATTATTATTATTATTATTTTTTACACCTGTATATATTCCGTTTTGGCGTGTTGCGCTCTCTGAGACCTGGACTAAAATCCACTCCGGTTTTTGCCGCCCGCTCCTTGCCGTGTTATCCGTGGAGCTATGTTTTTCAGTGTGGGAGATGCTGACTCTTGTCTGGAGCAGCGATCCCACGGAGGGGTTGAGACCAGCAGCAGCAGCAGCAGCAGCAGCAGTCTGCGCTAACTGAGGACGAACGAAGCGGAACCATTTCATCCTGGATTTTACGCGCAATCGGATCATTTCTATTCTTACTTTCCTCCACGTTGGTGAGGGGAATACGAGCAAAACAGAGGAATCACGCGTAAAAGACAACTGCGTGGCCACGCTCTCTCTCTCCCTCCCACCCAAGCCGAGGTCCTGTAGCTGAAGATCCATTCTCCTGCGTGGCACAAGTCTGGTATTTTCTCTGAGTTGCAAACCCAGCAGGGATCAGTCCGACAGGAGCTGAGGGGAAATTTAGTACTAAATCCAGCCGGTACCTCTGCTGGTACTGCAATCACTCCTGGATCTTCTAGGCTGTGCTTGCCGGATGGCATAGGCAAAGAAGGAAGGGGGGGAGGGGGGGTGTTCATTCATTTTTCAGCCCCTCTCAGCCACCACCCCTGTGGATGTGTCCGTGTTTTTTTTTCTTTTTCATCCTCCTCTTCATCATTCAGCATTTTCACGAGTGGATTCTTGAGAACAATTTAATAGACATCTGCTGGAAATATACATTTAAATCTAAGCATTTTTTTTAAATAATCATTATTGCCAACAACCAGGCCTTAAAACACTGGAGGCGCACTGCTGTTTTTAAGAGATGGAGAATGAAGATGGGGATTACCATCATTTATCCAGGAAAATCACTGGCCTGTGCGCGCCAGCAGCCAAAGTGTGCAGTGATCACGAAAAATAACAGGCTGCATTTTGGGGATTATTTTCGATCAAAAACGCCATTCCTCCCCACCTAAGTCGCATGTATTTTTTTTTTTTTTACACAACTACATAAAATAAAACCTCACAAAGCATTTGGAGTCTGCCAAAGAGTAGCCTTGTTGGCTACAGACATTCACCATACCTTTGTTTTTCTTATCATTTTTTTAAATATACATATATAAAGGCTCTCTTGTGAAGCGTGGACGTCTACGAGCCTTTTTATATTCATTTTTTTTGTATTTTTGAAAGGAAAATAATGAACGTAGGAGCAGGAACATCGATGGGTTGCCTGACCTTGTTTTGGGGTTTGCTGCTGTTTGTTTCTTCCATCTGCGTAAGACCTATCCATGGAGAGAGTAAGTAGTGTTTATTCCACATTGTGTTTATGTTTTAGGTAAGTATGTCTTTGAACTTATAATATTTGTGATTAACTTAATATGTAAACAGTAGGTGTGCTATAGGGATAATTACTGGGTTATTTTAATTAGAGTTCAAGCATAACCCCGCCGTGCGCCTGCTATAAAAACGGTAGATCTGGACCATGTGTTTCTGAATAACTGTAGGTGAACACTGCTAATCTATCTATGTACGCCCATTATTTTATTTGATCATCCATACTTGGGTATTTAAACCAAAAGAGGAGGGGATCCGGTGGAGCAGGAGCATCCGACGCATTGTTTTGAGCGCGCAGAAGTCAGAGGGATGGATCCAGGGAGCAGAGCTGAAGGTTACTACACCATGTGGCCATTTTGCATTTGGAAGTGTGGCGTCGCAGCGCACGAAAACAGCATAATTAAGACAATCCTTTGATTTATTCCAGTAAAACACACACTTACACTGTCGGAAAATAAGTCAATATTATTCTTGATTTAACAATAATAAAAAAAATGTCGAGAAGCTTTTGAACCGTTTGTTTTGGTGCTCCAGTCAATGGAATCCTTAAAATAGAGCAGCTTCAGAGCGCCTGTTGTTTTCCACCTCGGCTTTATGCGCTCTGCGCTAATTAAGCTTAGGAGAGGGTTGGTGGCTCCCAGTCTGGGAGACATACAAGATCCTTGATTTTGTTAAAAAAAAAAACATTTTTGTTACAGAATTTTTTTTAACACTGTTAATTAAAGGGGAAAATATTCACACATGTGGGAATTTCCATGTAATTTCCTCTTCCAAGACAATTTTTGAGGGCAAATTTTAATTTCAGTCTTTTAATTTCTTCCCTGTACTTGAGAACTTAAGATGTGTTTGATGTTTTCTGTATAAAGGTCTCCCAATTTCTTTTATTGCAAAAAATCAACATACATTAACAATATAAAACATTAATAATTACATATACAACAACAAAGGGCTTTACAGAACAGAACTATTTTTTTTAAATGTCAAAATCAAATCTAATCTATGCTCCAGGGTTACAATTCTTTAAGGGCGGTTATAATTTGCATGGCTTTAGCATTTGAACAGAATTTTAGGGAATATATATATTAATAGAAGATGATAAAATCTGGAAATTAGGTTTTTGTTGTAAATATTTGGAGCTGTAAATAAGATATTTACCATAAAAAAAAATGTATAACGTATAAAAATTCTGTTTTGACAAGTTCACATTTCTCCATCCCAAACAAACAAAACATCCTTATCTGTTAAGGTAAGGCGGCTGCCAATTTTAGAGAAATTGCTAAAACAATTTTACGTCACAGAGAGTTTCTATGCAGGCTGGAATAGTCTGCCATGTGTTAGACATCAAATAGAGATAACCTACCAACAAAATACGTAATAACAAAATAATAAAGTATCTTTGTAAATCCTTGATGTTTCATTTACCTTTATTCTCTTCATTTCTTTCTAATTTTCTTTCCTTCATTGTAACTTTCCTTCCTTTTCTTCATTATTTATTTTCGCTTCACTTTAATCATGCACCATGCCTATCTTACCTCTCCTGTATCCCTTCTGTGTTTTTGCCTTGCTTGTTTTCCCATATTTTCCACATTCTTTACATTCTTTTTGAATTTATTCCTTCTTCTTTCTGTTTTTTTTTATATCCCAACCATTCTGCATTACCTTTCTTGCCATCTCTTCCTTCCTAACTTGTTTGTTTTTATCTGGCACATTAGAGTCTTTTTTTTTTCTAAACTGGAGTTTGAATGAAAAGTGAAACAAAGTCGAGCAAAACAATCAGATGAGTCTACTAATGTTTATTTAACTTTTTTTAGACCACAACTTAACTTTCCTATTTTTACATTTATTTTTTATCTCTACTTGAACTGGGTTGAACTGTAGTTCAAGCGTTTTGCATAAGGATTATTTTTATGCCTGTTTTTGACCAAGTTGTTCATTCTGATTCATCACATTCATTGTTTTACCTTGCGCCCCTTTTATTGTGTTCCATGCTTCTTTCCCTTTTAGTTTCCTTCCATTCTCTCTTTACCTTATCATTCCTTCCTTCATTCCTTATTGTAGTTTTAATGTTTCTGTCATTTCTTCCTTCTCATCTAAACTTGTTAGGTTGTTTTTTTCTTACACTCTTCTGTTTCTTTCTTTCTTCCTTTCTTTCTTTCTTAGATTTTGAAATTAAAGTAAGCTAAGAAATCTGACTATAAATCTTTTGTTTTGTTTGGCGATTTGGAATTCAGTTTTATTTGCTGTAGTTCAATACTATAAGCTGTAAATATGATAGAGGCTGGGTCCTACACCCTCATGTAAAAGCTTACATATATGTACACCTCTGTACTATATCAATCTGGGTAATAATAAGAAAAAAGAAAGCATACAATTCAATATAACTGTATTTAACTGATTAGAAAGAGTATTTTAGGCATTTTGGTTTGCTGTTTTATTATATTTGAAAAAAGTCTGATTTTGTTTAGTATTTAACTGATCAGAGTGGATCAAGAGAAAACTAGCATATTATAATCATTGGCAGATAGTCTGGTTTATTTGTAGCTTTCTTTTACTTGAACCGTGATTTTGAGATTTCCAGAGTTAATTTCTCTCACAGTCTGTCTTTTCTTTTATTTCTTTTCCCTGATGTCTTATGTTTTATCATAATGAGCGCTACTCTTTCATAAACACCTGTATGATTCATTCTGCTTTTGACTTAGAGATTGAACTTGCGTCTATACATGGACACCACTATCACCCCCCCCCCCCCCCCCCATGCCTCACTTAGGTGGAAACCTCTTTGCATGTGAAGAGACATGCAGATGGACCACTATTAACATCTAAATAGATAGGTGAGGGAGTTTCTCTCAGATGTTGAGTCTACTATGTAGAATACATCAGGCCTTCCAGAAGACACAAACTCAGTGACCAAAGCCTGTGCAGAATATAAGCATCAGTGTCACTAACTCAGTACTTGTGGATGGTGTTTACTTTACATGGGCTGGAGAGCGTCAGAATTTCCAGCTGCTGTCATCACTTAGTGGAAAATCCCAAACCTTTCAGAGCTCCATTTGGGGTTCAGATCTTTTTGTTCATTTTGATAATCTGTCCGCACCAGTAAAATGTAATTAAGCTCCCTTTTAACTCCCGCCGCAACAGACTTTCCATGCCACAACTTTTTAGCATGCAGTTTCTTTTTTGTGTCTTGTTTTTTTTTTTTTTTTTTCTAAGAAGGGAGATAGTGTTGGGAAAACAGTTGGTGTTTGGAAATCATGCATAAGATGCAGGAAGCAGATTTGGTTTCATCGATTTGGGGAGAGTTAAGCTGCGTGCTGCTCGAAACCCTCATCATTTGGCAGCCATACCCAGAGCTCTTTAACCGTATCCAGAAGCAGTGGTGGTGAGGTTGTCTGAGCACAAGCCTTCCATGTCCTGTCTCATGAGGACACAGCAATGTTCCTGTCTCTGTCATCTTGGAACATTGGATTGGCGGAGACAAGTGATCAGCCATCAGTGAGCATGCTGTTTGACAGGTACGCTTCCTGTCCAACCTTTTCCCTTCTGGGTGGGGCTCGGCGCAGGACGGCTCTCCTTAACATGACAGGGTGCATACATCAGCTAAGACCGCTGTCGCTGCCACCCAAGGTGCCCTGCTTTGCCTCGTGACTCTGGTGACATAAGACCTCCACACTTGCCGATTGTCTTCTCCCTCTTTGATTGGTGTGTATAACTGAGTCAGTGGCATGCCCGTGGGTAAGGATGTGAAAGTGTGTCACTGGGCTAGTTTGTGAGCATCCTGTAGAAATGCTGTTCAGCAGCTCTTCAGGCCTGCCAGCACAGCGTTGCAAAGCTTTGATGAAATTCTTTATTTTTATGTGGCATTCCAGTTTTTTTTTTTTTTTTTGCCTGGATATAGTCTCTCCATCCAAGCATGTATGCATTATAATTTGCTCTTAGTTTACTGGCTAGTAGAGTGTTTTACAGTTTGTGTGATGAGTATAATTGTAAACTCCCCTACTGCATGTCACCTGTCATATCAGATAAGTGCTGCCTGTGTAAAAACATTCAAAGATAAAGCTGCCAGGCCTTTCATATCAAGAGATGCACTGATTGCAGTTTTTTTCAGGTCTCCAAAAAAACAAATATTTTTTGCTAAATCTGTTCTTTTAGGGAGTCGGTTTCATAGTTGAGGAACAGCTGGTTTACAGTCTAGTTCTGGGAACATCCAGCCAAGCGGTCTATGAGCATTACACATGGCTTATACCTGAAATGCAGCTTTAGAAATGTCGAATGAGATGTTTCCTTTTAGACAAAAAACACAATATTACAGTCTATCCTTTGACGATCAAGTAGGTTGTCAGCCAATTATGTGATTTAGGAGACTGTTGGGATATGAGAAATATCCCTGATCATGGCCAGGATCTTGGAAGCAGCATTTTGGATAGTAATGGATTAGAAATTATGTCACATAATGGTTTGTAAGGGGAGACGCTGCAAAGTCGTTGACTCAGACCGGTTTCCCGAATTTTTCTGAATATGTACTAGTGTTTTTATTTTTAAAGCAACTAACCTAATAAACTCATCTTGACTAAATTTATGACTAGGATTAAATTAGGAAGGCTTTTGATCTGTCTCTCTAAATGTGTGGGGAAAGTCCCTGCTGCCTTTAAATAGTCTCCTACAATTCTTGTCACTTAATTTTGCCACATTTTTATAACTGAAGAGAACATCTATTAGCTTACTTTATTATTAGATTAGCAGCTGGTCAGTTTGCCTATTCAGCATGTTTTCTCCCTTGCACCTTTAGTTATTATGCTATGAAAAGCATTCACCTGACAGTTTGTCAGTGTATACTTGCACAGGGGAAGTTTCATATCTGTGTTGACTTAAATGTTATTCCTCTGATGGATTTCTACTAGAAGTAATAGATATTTTGATTTCTATATACCAGATTTCTTAAGGTTCTAACTGTGCAAAATAGAAC